GAACGTGGAGCGAACGTTGGCCGGAATGAATTGTGCCAATATTCTGTAACAAACAAATGATTAGAGACAAGCCCTCCGGATCCCGGTCATCTCCAAACTAGGATTTCCTGCGCTATGGGAACCAGAGACAGATATACATACTTATATACGCTTAGATGTAAAAAAATATAGATAACTAGTGGACCCGGCGAACTTTGTTCCGCCACGCGGTTTGTTTCAAACACATCAACCGGTCAACTTTTCAAAATTCTACTATAATTAACCATAGAATATATTACGTTTAGTTATACCACGTTTTATGTCGCGTCCCATGGGAACGTGATAAAAAGTATCCTATGTCCTTCTCCTTGGGACGGTGGGATGGATGTAATGTGCTCTGCGTCAACCCTGTCCCGCCGTTTCAATAGCCCCGACTGGGCTCCGGCCCGGTCCGAGGTAGGGCGCCGGTTGTGAGCGGCAGGAGTTTTTAGTGAGGTTCAACTCCCACATACCCCACCTGCCGCGCGGATCCGGCGATTTTCTCCTGTGGAAAAAAAAAATGTCCTTCTCCTGGTTTTAAGTTACCTCCTCACCAATTTTCAGCCAAATCAGTTCAGCCGTTCCTGAGTTATAAATAGTGTAACTAACACGACTTTCTTTTATATACAGTCAAACCTGGGTAAGTGAGAAAACTCTATAAGTGAGAGTAATAGCCAGGACCCGTCATTTTAAGCTCCCAAAACCTCTATTAGTGAGAAACAGAAACCTCTGTAAGAGAGAGTCGTTTTTCCCTCATGGACCTCCATAAGTGAGACAGCTACTTAACTATACCTCTATAAGCGACAGTCGAGCTTTATTTATTTATATTATTTAGGAGGAACAAATGAAAAACAAATTACAAATTGAACATCTGCTATTTTATGACTCATTCTTAACTTTCGTGGAATTTCCTACCATTGTTTTTTGTAATGTTTTCTCGTCAATATTGAATATTCTATTTCGTGGAACTAAATAACGTTGTTATTTTATCGTATGCTTTTCGAATGGACACGTGTGCTTGTGTACCGTCCTGTTTGTCGAACTTACTCAGTTTATCGTTAATAAATTGCGAAGGAAAGTTCTGTTCTGCATCATGTCAAAACGGAAAATTAAAGTACTGTCATTAAGTGATAAACTTAAAATAATTAATGCGTTTGAATCCGGAAAATCGCGAAATGAAGTTCAGAGGGTGCATTAAGGAGAAACTCGGGTTAGTGAGAAACCTCTATAAGCGAGAATAAGATTGTGCTCCCTTGAACTCTCGCTTATCCAGGTTTGACTGTATATACCTATATACACCTAGACAAAGAGAATCGACATCACACGAAAGTTTGCCCGATGCGAGAATGTAACCCAAAAACTCAGTAGTCAGGGGCCCTGGCTAAATCGCCACCGATTCACTCAATTTGTGTTTTTATATTCGATATTATATACAGTCTCGAATTTTTGTATCGATAATGAAAACTGCGTGTTTCTACACTATAATCGAATACCCCGTGTTCTGTGTGAAGGGCACCCTCAGTCACGGTTACAACCTTGCTTTGCGGAAGGACCTTGCCAATACAAGCCCTATTGTGCTGTAATAAAAT